GCGGTTTATCCGGAGAAGACGGTGTACACGCAGCAGGTCGGTCCAGGCTGCTGCTTCGGTGCTCTCGCTCTAATGCTGCGCTTCTACTTTGAGGTGACTGCCGCCAAATCACAAACAGACATTTAATAAAAACATACAGAATACTAGAACATCTACTTAAAGAGTCTGAGGTTTTATCTTCTGTCACAACATTTTGTGTTGTTCATCGATATCCGGTTACATACTGAAAGAGTGTGATGTTTTCACTCCACAGGAGTGGGACTACGCCTATGTCCACAGCTTCTACCATCTGTCTCTGGCTGTTTCCTTCGTGCTGCTGCTGCCAAAGAAGAACCGCTATGCAGGGACGGGAGAGAACGCTGCTAAGCTCAGCTGCTTCACTCTCTGCTGCTGTGTACGTTCCATTTATATACACTATAGAAATCCTGTAGTAATGAGACTTTCAGTTATTTCATCTTAAAGTAAAATGAGCTTGTTCCGGTCTATCTTATACTGTGGTGCAATACAAAGACGTTTTATGAGATGTGTTTCTCTACAATGGTAGAGAAGGTGGGTGTGGCTCAGGAGGTACAGCAGGTCATCCAGCAATCGGACGGTTGGTGGTTTGATTCCTGGATGCTCCTGTCTGCATGCCGCAGTATCTTTGTGCAAAACACTGAACCTCAAGTTGCTCCTAATGTGTTTACTGGAGTGTGAATGTGTATGACAGAAAGCTCCTACACTGCCTGTTTGAATGAGTCTTGTAGTATAACGCTCTTTGAGTGCTCAAGCAGAGCAGAAAGCTATATAAGAACAGTCCATTTACCATTTATTTTGGCGATGGTGCCACTGACGGGTTTTTAGGTTTCTGGTTGACTTTGACAGACCTGTCTGAATAATGCTATAAACAGAGCACCAGGCCACAGATGCCAAAATACAACTTCAGTGTAAGCGAGCAGCTTACGAGAGCCAGAGTAGGCTGATTCTTTCAATGACTTTATGTTTATTCCCGTAAATAAGGTCTGTGGTTAACACGACATTTTTATTCTATGTTGTTGTACAAAATAGAAATACGGCCATAAATACGCCACTGCTTTTATATGTACCCAAGAAGGTGTTTGCTGAGCAGCTAAATGGAGTCCGTTTATCACCCGTGATTAGAATTTTACCTCTTGGGACGGTTTTTACGCTTCAAAAAAATCATGTATCAGAAAGTAGTGACAGAATGGGGAG